AGAGGGAGAGAAAGAGGAAGAGGGGTAGGCACCGGGAGAGGGATTGGCGCCGCTAGGGCGCGCATAGCGCGTCATTGGAATTGCATTATTTCCAGTGGCGTAATTTTGCAGTAACGGGCAGCGACGCGGCTAGCGCAACGCACACTAATCCGATGTAACGAAGCCTGTCATCACGTCGTGTTTGAGCGGGCGCTGGCTGGGCGAAGCAGTGCGAAGCAAGGGAGTGCGGCGCCACCGCTAGGACTCACGGTGGGGCAGTAGACCGGCGAAGGCGGCCTAAACTGAAGACGCGTTTTGAGCTCCAGAGTCGCTAGATGGGACTCGAACCGAAAGTGTGCCCTATCAATGGATTCCTCGTCCGGAAAGCAATCCATTGGTGGGGCACACTTTCGGTTCGAGTCCCATTTAGCGACTCTGGAGCTCAGAACGCGTCCGGGATTTTGACCGCCTCCACCGGTCTTCCGACCCACTGTGAAACGGCCAGTTGGCCCTGAGCGGCGCCCCAGCAATATTCGCAACGAGTGCTTCCAGTGCAGCTGCCCAAATTTGGTTACCACGGCAACAGCGCTAATTAAACGCGCGGTGTGTAATGGCTCGAGCATAGGCCGGGCCGCTCATATATACGGCATGGCGTTGGTTGCCATGCCAACCCCTGTCTTGCCACCGCAATACCCGCACGCGACCAAAGGCAGGGCCGGCCGCTGGACCGGCGGCCTGACCAACCCCAACCAATGGCAGCACGCTTCTCTCTCTCTCTCTCTCTTTCTCTCTCTCTCTCTCTCTCTCTCTCTCTCTCTCTCTCTCTCTCTCTCTCTCGCTCTCTCTCTCTCTCTCCGCATTCGCACCACGCACGAGGCAGCGAGCGACCACCGATCACACGGAGGGCGCCAAGTTTATGCCTTAATTAATGCATCGTGTCCTTCCATTTGGAAGCCAAGGTGGAGCTGGCGCAGTGAATCACCTCTACGGTGGGGGCACACCCATTCGGGCGGGGGGTATCGGCCCCGTATGGGGCGACCCCCGGCGACCCCCAAACTGGGACGACCCCGAAACGGGGCTTGATAGGACCGTGACTGTTGCTCATGCAGTGGAAAGTACTCAGGAAAAAATTCGAGCACAGTCAACAGTGCACCTTCGCCTTGGTAAAAATCCAATACAGTTTACGAGAAACTGGCTTTTCACGTAGGATTATCGTCTCTCTCTCCTCTCTCTCTCTCTCTCTCTCTCTCTCTCTCTCTCGTGCGACAGAGACGGAACGTGATTGGCCGTCCCTCTCGTCGGCGGGGAGAAGACTCTCTCTTCGCTTCCGCATTTGCAGTTTTTGAGATAAGGTGCTTTTTGGGCGGCGGCTGTGTCGCTATCGCCGCGCTGTCGCTGCAGGCCGTGCATACGAATGCCGCCATTAGCGAGGAAAGCCCTCGCGGCCTACGCCACACTGCCAAAAGAAGTCCTCAAACTAAGTTTTCCGGGGACTTTTACCAACTACACCCAGAAAAATGGCTTCTTAATTTTCAATTTAAAAAAAATTGTAAAAAAAATTATAATGACACAAGAAACTTTTTTCTTCGTACAAGGAAAAAAGTTTGGATCAAAATGAAATTTCTTGAAAAAATTGCCAGAATATTTTTTATTGGTCGAAAAGGGCAAAAAAGTGGTATTATTTTTGGCAAACGAAGACCCGCTTCGAGGATCGGCCCGCCTCGGATGGACTAATCCGGCGGAAGCAAGAGGCGAGGTCGCTGACCGGAGCCAGACATAAATTCTCAATAATGTTTGCGGGCCGCGCAACTACTATAATAAGGAAAAACAAGTCTTAATTTATCGTCTCGAAATGCAGCAGCAATTACGTAGTGTTTCTGGGACGCGCCTCCTCGCCCCCAGCGATCGGATTACTGCATGAGGCGCCCCGCCCCCGCCTCTCCCCACCCCGCCCCGCCCCGCCGCACCACGCTTCACGTTCAGCGGGCCACATAATTGAAAACCACATCACTCGGGGGTACTCGCTTCTGTGATTACGAAGCAAACTACTTTGTGGACGGAGCGATCAAGAACCAAAACAAAAACAATTTGCACACGCTTGTGTGCGGTACACTGGAGAAACAAAACATGTCGTCCACACAGAATGCAAATGCCTCGTTTCACTTAAGCTGAGCCGCTGCGACGTCCTGGTGCCGTTGGAATGGAGAGTGGGCCGATTTCCGCTCTTCGCCGAGGCGGCAAGTCATCTTTTCGACCGCGCGGACGTTTCGCGGCCGAGATATTGTCTGGCTGTGTCGGTGAAAAGGGGGGGGGGGCTGCCCAAGGAAGGGGTGCTGGCTATGAGAGCGCGGCGGCTCTGTACGGACGCCCGGGGGGCAGAAATAGGGGTAGGAACGATGGGCCAAGGGAGAGAGAGAGAGAGAGAGAGAGAGAGAGAGAGAGAGAGAGAGAGAGAGAGAGAGAGAGAGAGAGAGAGAGGTACACCAAAAGTGGCACCAGCAGCACCCACCCCAGTTTACGAGGCCCGGGCAGTCTATAAAATAGGCCGGCCCCTTGACTATCGCGGTCCCGCACGAATGCGAGTCAAATGCTAGACTAATTACAGGTTAACGGTTGTCGGACTGATTCACGCGGTGCGGTAAATCTTCTCCCCCTCTTCCCTTGAATATGAATCATACAGCTCGTTTCACGCGCGTGGTACGGCCGGTGGACGCACCGCCGAGAGAGAGAGAGAGAGAGAGAGAGAGAGAGAGAGAGAGAGAGAGAGAGAGGGAAAGACCTTCCGCTCGGAATCAGCCAGCCGGCCTCTCCTCGCCTCGCCCGCGGCGACCGAGTCTCTTCGCCTCGTTTATGAAGCGGGGTGTGAACGTCCCCATGTCGGCCCGTTTTATTTTAACTGTGGGTTCCGCCCCAAGCTACACGCAAGGGAGAGAGAGAGAGAGAGAGAGAGAGAGAGACAGACAGAGAGAGAGAACACAGGCATTCCAACCGTGAACACTCGTACTTGGACTGTTTTGCTGCCTGTATTGTATCGTTGTTGTTGTTGCTGTTGTTGTTGGAGTTTTACGTAGGCAGGTTCCCGCCCCCGTGTGTGGCTCCTCGTTAGCAGAGTGTGTCTGGGGGGTGGGATTTGCCGGGACTCCGAGTGATAGGGGGCCGATCCCTCCGCGCAGGGCTCGGCAGGGCTCGGCAGGGCGCGCTCCGGATCCACCGTGGGACTTAGCGGCATAAGCTCATCGGGCTGAAACTCGGCGAAAATACTTCTCCGGCCCGCGGCCCCGAGCCGGGTCGGGCCGGGCCGAGCCACGCGACGGTAGGGAGGGATCCGGTAAGGTGAGCGAGCGTGCTCAGTTTTTCCCCGCCCCGCGAACGAGTGAAACGAACCCAGGGTGGTATCGAAATGACTGTACGTCAAGTTCGACGCGAACAATCAAAATTCAAATAAGACATAAAAATAAAAGTTTTGGCTGCTTATTTTTTCCCCAAAAAAATCGGAGAACTTTTACTGTGTCGTCTGCTGGCAAGGTAAATTGCCAACTAGCCAAATAAGGTTTTTTCTCTGATAAGGATCCCTCCCCGGCACACACAAAAAGGAGAAAAATCTAATTTCTGTGAGTAGCTTGAAAGGACACGACAGGCCATTCACACACAACAGCCCCCCTCCTTTCTCACACACTCACGCGCACGCGCACGCACGCGCGCGCGCACACACACACACACACACACACACACACACGTCCTCTCACACACGTCCCACACACCTGTCAAACAGTCACACCCACCCCGGCCCTGACGTGACGTGTCAATATTATTTTGCCTGCCTCGGATTGTGGGAAAGGGCCATCGAGAGGCGGGGGCGCCGTGGAACCGATTGCTTGGAAGGAGGAAGAGAGAGAGAAAGAGAGATGGCATAGCCGACAGCGAGTGGGAGAGAGACAAGGATAGCGAGAATGGACGCTGGTGAAAAGAAGGGCGTACCGACTATTGTGACTGGGGGCCGACTCTCATGCCACTGTGCGCCCCGCCCCGCCACGCCCCGCCACGCCCCGCCCCGCCACGCCCCGCCCCGCCCCGCCCCGCCCCGCCCGCGCCGCACATGCCGTGCCTGATTGTCGGCGACTTTTATGCCGAGTCATTCCTTCGATGGGATGTCAGAGGGCGCGAGCGCCGAGTGGCCGCCCCCACTGGAAGTACGGCGCCAACACGAGGAAAATCGCCCTTTGATTTATTTCGTTCATAAAACGCGCTTGTCACGCCCCATGTGTTTGCAGGGGGAAAAGGGAAAACCGCGCGGAGGGGGCGGGTCTAGTAATTTGGAACAAAAGCTGCACTCTACATGTGTCTTGCCGAGAAATATTTCCCGTAATGCGAAGGCAGTGTGGCGCAAGTACCTACGCATCCGAAGGTTTTTCGCTGTATCTTACAACAATGACAATCCAGAAAGTGTTCGTGCCACGGAGTAATTTTGCGTCCTATGGTGCTTGCGTCGAATTCACTGTAGTAAGGCTCAAATCTCAATGTAAGCCATTTCGAGTGTACATTCGTGAAAGGGCTGATGTTTCAATCGGTTTCTACCACCAGACAAAAAAGGTTCCGGTTTCTCCGGTACCCGAAAGGCCGGCGATCATTCGTGGTCCAGCTATTAATAACAGATGCAATAGCTGTTATGGTGATGTAGCGCCTGACATCGGCTGGGTAGGCAACCCGCACGCAGGGCTGTCGACGGGACAGCCTACCTCCGGGTGTTGTAGCGCCTGACATCGGCTGGGTAGGCAACCCGCGCACAGGGCTGTCGACGGGACCTCCGGGTGTTGTAGCGCCTGACATCGGCTGGGTAGGCAACCCGCGCACAGGGCTGTCGACGGGACGGCCTACCTCCGGGCGTTGTAGCGCCTGACATCGGCTGGGTAGGCAACCCGCGCACAGGGCTGTCGACGGGACGGCCTACCTCCGGGCGTTGTAGCGCCTGACATCGGCTGGGTAGGCAACCCGCGCACAGGGCTGTCGACGGGACGGCCTACCTCCGGGCGTTGTAGCGCCTGACATCGGCTGGGTAGGCAACCCGCGCACAGGGCTGTCGACGGGAGGGGCTCGTGTTGCAGTGCAGCACCAACCTTGAGGGCGCGACGCCGCTGCGGTCCATCTTCCTCCCTACCCAGGCGGCGTGACGACGGGCATCCTCGACGAACGTCCGTGCGGCCAAACTTTATCCTTGTCCAGGTTAGGCCAGAGGGCCGCGGCCCGGGCGGCTGCTTCTCGCGACCGACTGCTGCGCGCTGCACTGCGGCGCGACCACGTGGACGCGAGTCGACAGTCGGCGTGGCTGGCGGTCCGACGGCGGGGTGGCGCTGCGAGGCGTGCTGGGCGGTGGCCGAGCCGGCTGGAGGCGCACTGCGCGCGTTGTGTTGGTCCGGGGCGCCTCCGCCCTGGGTGGTTTCGCCCTCCGCCCACAGAGGGCGCCACCCACAAGCACCGCGCCCTCGCGGCGGTGGCGACCTCGCGCGGACGCCGCCACAACCCCCGCGGCGGCGCTACCCCGCGCCCCGGGGCCCCGCCGGGGGATGCTGCGGAGATACCCCCGCTGATAAATTGCACCGCGTGTCCAATCTCCGCGTGTGTGAGTGAGGTGTGTCTGTGTAAGTGTGTCGGGCTGATAGAAAATACATGGCTGCCGCATCGCTCCCTGTGGAGGACAGCCTAGATTGACTGCTGACCCCGGCGTCCCCGCGCGACACACACACGCACACACACACACCAAGACGTTTTGCCCTGACAAGGGAATTTCCTCATAAATCTCTGCAGGCCCCCCCACACTGATACTGCGTCCCTGTCAACACCGCAACCGCGCCCATCGCTGCTGGCTCGGCCGTCTTGCCAAAAGGGGCAGCGGTGAGCACTTGGCGAGCATTTCGTCGTTATGTGTCGAAAAAATATGACACTCAGTTCACTTTAATGACGCTTTAATTCCTAGACTTGAAATTCAAGAAGGGAAGGTGAAATTTTTCGAGTATCTCCGCAATGCGTCGAAATTATTTTCCGCCGCCACTTATGAATGGTCCCCGCCGCCGCGCCGGCCGCCTCGCCGCGCACAGTGGCCCCCGCGGCCCGGCCGGCCAGGCGTCGGCGCGGCCGGCTCGGCTCGGCTCGGCTCGGCTCGGCTCGGCTCGGCCCGGCGGCGGCCGCCCCGGCTGGGCTCGACGGCGGCCCCGCGGCCCGCTCCGCTCGTCTCGGCGGCAAGCTGTAGGCGATTGGGCCGCGCGCAACGCGTCACCATGCCGACCACACCGCGGGGACGGCGACACCACTGTGAGCCCCGGCACTGTAAGCGAGTCCTCACTGTGGTCCTCACTGGCGGCGGGATGCAGTGGTTAAAGCAGTGTCTCTGTCTGCGTGTAGGACATGCGGCATGTGGCCTGGCTACTGCTGTTGGTTATGGCCACCATTTACGTACAAGCCGGTGAGACGGACATGACATGGGAAGAGTACAAGGTACCGCCAGCGCCTGTTTTATGAATCACGCCGAGGGTACTGTGTACTGCACTGCACTGTCATACCTAAAAGACTGAATGATTTCCGCGCCGCAGGCAAAGTACAAGAAGTCGTACGCGAACGCCGAGGAGGAGGAGAAGCACCACCAGAGCTTCCTGGCGTCACTCAAGCACGTGGAGGCCCACAACCAAAAGCGCGCGCGCGGCGAGGTTTCCTACTCCATCGGCATCAACCAGTTCTCGGACCAGGTGAGCGATGAGCGCTGAAAACCAATCGGAACATTAAAAGCTTTCAATTTCTTGGTGAAGATTTCATCTTGGTCAAGTCAACTTTTTATGAAAAATAAATTAGCTTTGGATTTGTCTATTTTATCTTGACAGGTACCTTTTCTTTTCTTTGAGCGCCAAAATATCACGTTTCTTTGTCTTTGCTCTGCAGGATCGAAGCGGGTCGAAGCCATCTGACACGGCTGCGCCTGAGGACCAGACCAGGAACATTGGTGCGTGTGATATGACGTTTTAGTAGTGAGCGGAGGCCGAGGGGAACGAACCAGTCGAACAATCCACGCCCTCTCAAAGAGTACGGCGCACAATGTGCCGGAAGACCCGTGGAGGTGGTCAAAATCCCGGACGCGTTTTGAACTCCAGAACCGAGCGTGTGACCCCACCAATGGATTCCTCGTTCGGAGAGCAATCCATTGATGGGGTTGCAAGCTCGGTCCAGTCCCACTTAGCGACTCTGGAGCTCAAAACGCGTTTAGAATTTTGACCGCCTCCGCCGGTCCTCTAGGACACTGTACACAGGGTGTTCGTCAGTTCGTTCCCCGCCGGCCGGTGCACGCGGCCGGTCCGGTAAAGGTGGCCGATGACGCCTGTTCAAGGTCGTGCCCCTGCCGTCAGACCCGGCCGCCGCGGCGCCGCGAGGGAACACTTTTTGAGCCAGACGGTACGCCGAAAAAAAAAAAAAAAAAACCAGAACGTTGCAAAAAGTTGTGCTTATTTGTAAAAAAAATAAAATAGTGCAGAATGCAAACTATTTGTTTTCTGGGGACTGAACCTAATTTCTGGTTTCATAAACATTACCGACGAGTATAGCGCGATACAGTGAACTTCATTGCTTATCCGCATGGCTCTCGTGTCGACAGGTCCTTCCCACAACGAAAGCGCCGCTGCATAAGTTCAACGCGAACAGGATCATCCACTGGCTGACCGGTGAGTCGACACTGGCGTTGCCGTTCAGCGGTTCTCCGCGGCGGAATCACGTCAAACGGAATGAAAGCTGTTGAAAGGACGCGAGTCGCGTTGGTCGAATGCCACACTGCTGTCACTTTACTGGACAGTCCAGTGCCTTCACACGAGTGAGAAGTCACAGTGTCGAGAGTGTTGCCGGCCTAAGCATGCTTTTGGCTGTATCCAGTGGCTTGGCTTCTGAGAAGTGGCCCAGTAGGCAGGCTGAGGTTGGCAAGCCTTTCGACACTGACGCATCGTCAGGCTTTTCCGTAACGTGGCAACACTGGATCATGCTCCAGGACGCAAGCACGGCGGTGAACCAGCCTCAACCGCTGCTGCAGCTCACGGCGTCGCTTCCAAAGTTACGTCGGACCGGCGCTGGCGCCACCGTCCCCATGCATCCTAGCGGGGACAGCTGGGGCGCCTTCATAAAACATGCCCGCTCGGCTCGAGGGTGAAAGTTGCTGGCCTGCCATCGCCCCTCCGTCAAGCGGGGTCGCTAAACCAGCTGACTTCGGGAGCCTAGTGGAGCGGCTGGGTCCAGCAGGGCAGTGACAGCAAAAAAAAGAAAAAAACATCCGAAAAAACATGTTTTTTCCGTCGTCGTTCCTAAAAAAAATCGCCGACAATGCTTGCTGCGATGATTATTAATATCCGTGACATAAATGACTGCGAAAACCTGACATGGAGCGACTCTTTCTGGGCCAATCGACGTCAGGCACATCGTTTGTCACGCCGAGGCCGTGCCAAGATGGCGCGTCCAGGGCGGCCAGGGCGTCCAGGCGGTGCCATTAAGTACAAGTGGCCGATGGGGCTGGTGCCTGTCTGGCTGCTCGCCTGGCTGCCTGCCTGGCTGCCCGCCTGGCTGCCCGCCTGGCTGCCTGCCTGCCAGGGTGGCTGGCTGACTGACCCTCCTGGAGTCCAGGGGGCAGGTCGGGCCCGTATTTCAGCCCGTCCGAACGCGGCTGTGCAAACCAAGGAACCCCGCCGGTGAAGCCACCAGTTTGTCCGTTTGCCAATGTCCTTCTTCAACACCTAAGAAACCAAATTTTTCTTCCCTCGACAAAAATATTGTTTTGATTTTGGACAACAATCCACGTCAAATTTCGCAAATTTTAGTCTTATTTTCTTAAAATTCAACAGGGTTTGGTAGGATTAAAAAAATTGCTTCAGGTCATATCGTACCAGGCCCTATCAAATGCAAAAGTCGCTTGAAGTGCATCTCCAATTCAAACAGTTTCCTCACCGAAATTTAATGCACTCTCTGTTGAGACTGGGAGACGCAAAAAGTCGTGGCCTACAATACACTGCTCGGTAGTCATGGTAACCATGCCAGGCCTCTGGGGAAGAACCACGCAGGCACTGCTGTGCGGCCTCGTCAGCCTACTACTCGTGGCCGCGACCGAGGTAACCAATCCCTCTTGGGTTCGAGTTGATGGGCCAAATGAAGGGACGCACCCAAACCCCGATCCAAGGTTTCCACTTAAGCGGGCGAAAATTTTGACGATACGCCACTGATCAAAGGGCTGCCAAACTAACTTCTCAAGAACTAGTGTACCACAGTGGATATTGTTCGAGCTGAAGCCCAGATGTGACCTTGCACAGACAGGCTTACGTCGGCACAGCCCTTTCAACACTCGGAGCGCGGTAGGAATTTTCGCCCACTTGTGTGACAAGGCACTGCTTTGCGGAATCCGTGCCGAGCGTGTCGCCGGCGCACTGTGAGTGCGGGCGGCCCCCACAACCGCTCAAGTCGTGCCGGGGTGGGTGGCAGTTGCGGCGCTGCGTATCCGCCGCGACTGCCGCGTTCCCTTACAGTGGCGGATAAAAAATTTAGGTAATGTCTGCGTGCGGCGCCAGGCCGAGGCCCAGGCGGAAGACGCGTCTGCGCGTTCATAAACGGCAGTTACGCCGCAATGCTACTGCGGCACGCCGGGCTCAGCACTTGAATGTATCGCACAACAAACAAATCTTTTTGTTCGCGTGTGTTTTGTGTGTGTGAAAGAGAGAGAGAGAGACTCATGTAAACAGAAGAACTGCAGCAGGACTCGAGGACGGCGCCCTCCGCCAGGACCGGGGACTACAACGAGCACCTGGAGATCGACTTCGACGACAAGGAGGACACGCCGCCGCCATGGGAGGACGACGCCGAGGTTCTGACGCCGCCGTCGAAGGAGGCGGCGGGCCGCGAGGACACCGACTGGGTCCCGGACGCCGTGCGCGACGTGGCGTACTACCTGCGCCAGTTCAAGTTCAACGAGTACGACCGGAGGTACGCTGCTGCGAGTTGAACCCGAATTGAGCCTGTGACCCCACCAATGGATTCGTCGTTCGAAGAGGGTTCCATTGGTGGGGTCACACGTCCGGTTCGAGTCCCATTTAGCGACTCTGGAGCTCAAAACGCGTCCGGGCTTTGGCCGCCTCCATCGGTCTTCTGGCCCACTGTGTGCTCTCCACGTCATGTCTCTACGCAATAGCGAGAGCAGCTCGTCGCTCAGCCTTCCTCATCAGTAACGCCGCGGACGGAATCGAAGTTGCTCGCCCGCCTCGTCACGCAAACTATCCGCCGCACTCCGCGGACTTGGCTCATCCCGGAGAGTGTGTTCCCGTTCAGCTCGCGCCAGAATGGATGATGGCCCTGCCCGCCTGCCACGGCCCGCCATCCGCTGATATGCAAATAATTGGCCGCTCGGCTCACACCAGCGCGGCCCCGCTCTCATCCCCGATGCTCCGCCGGCTTACTGCGACAATTGCAGCGCTAATTGCAGCGACTTATTACGGCACCCTTTCCATCGCTCTGTCCTTGTTGCTCCCTACGGCGTGCCAGTGAGAGCGAGAGAGACAGTCACGCGGCAGGTGGACGAGCCCCGAGGAATAATAAGTCGGCGATAAATGGAGTGGGCGTTCCACAGTGGGCTATAAGACCGGTGGAGGTGGCCAAAACTCTAGACGCGTTTTGAGCTCTAGAGGCGCTAAATGGGTCTCGAACCGAACGTGTGACCCCACCAATGGATTGCTCTCCGAACGAGGAATCCATTGGTGGGGTCACACGTTCGATTCGTGTCCCATTTAGCGCCTCTGGAGCTCAAAACGCGTCTAGAGGTTTGGCCGCCTCCACCGGTCTTCTGGCCCACTGTGCGTTCCCTGCAGGTACCACACTGGCAGCAACTTCTCCGGGGAGCGCGGCTTCGTCGGCGCCTTCCCCGAGCTGCGGGCCCTGCACTGGGAGGTCCGCGACGCCTGCGAAGAGGGCTTCCTGGAGTGCCTCAGACTGCTCCAGGTAGATCCACCTCCACCTCGTCAGATATCCAAGCCGCTGCAAAAAATTTTCGCGAATTTTCCGCGGCAACGTCCAAGGTATTTTTCAAACAGTGCTGTAGTGCCACTGCTCCAGAATAACCCTGTTAATACACTTCCGACAAACTCATTTCAATTTTAATTATTCTCGCGCCAAGTGGAGGAGCAGGCTAAATCCCCGCGCCGCTCGGCGCCGCTCGGCCGCGCGCATCCGCGGGGCGAAGGCTGCTTTGTAGCGAGCGGGCCCCTCTCCCTTTAAATGCCAGCGCCCCCCTGCGGACTGATTCCGAGGGTCGTTTGCGCCGCTCTGTCTCTCTCGCACTCACGGAGCCCCCGTCCCTTATGGGTGCGAGAGAGACAGATGAACGGACTCTCGAAATCAGTCCGCTGGCTGCCTCAAGTTGGAGCCTCGGTTCGAGCGGCCGCCCTGCCTTGGCCCTGCCTGCCATCTTGCATGGCCCGACGAACACTCACGCTCAAAATGACTCGAATCGCACGTGTGACCCCACCAATGGGTTCCTCATTCGAAGACCAATCCATTGGTGGGGTCACACGTTCGGTTCGAGTCCTATTTAGCGACTCTGGAGCTCAACACTCGTCGAGAGCTAACTACTTTTACAGTGTCCGACTGATTACCCAGCGTGGTACAGTCCACCCCAAAGCGGCACTGGCACGGAGCAATGCGGCCGTCCGTCCAAGGTCGCTGCGCTGCTGCTGCACTGCAAACGCGTCCAAGGCAAACGATGCCATCATCTCGATTCGCAGTGTGGTGGCGCAGTCCATTTCCCCACTCATTAGCATTCTCCGGCCAGCCTAGGCCCGGCTAGGCCTGCCCTTGTTATTTGAATAAAACGTGAAAAGAATGCAGCCGATGCAACGCAGCGCGCGGTCACGGCCTATCGTTAGAACCCAATTTTCGCTTCGTCGCAGAAGGCGCTGACTCGACTGTCAAAACAACAATTTCCCCCTCTCGACAAAACAAAAATCAGCGGAAAAAAGATCATCTTGACATTGTCTGTAGGCTTTTTTTTTGTGAAGTCCAGGTGTGAATCTTGAGGTCTGTTTACAGCAGCAAGACTGACCCTTTTCGCAACGGCAGGACAAGCTCTCGCTGGTGCGTCTCCGCCGCGCTGATGACACCGTGAAGGCCATGCTTGACAACCAGCTCTCCTGGCCGGTGGACCAAACGGCCAAGGTGTGGTTTACATTCAGCTCCCTCTCTTTCAACGGAAACAGACTTTTGCTCAAAAATTTCGTGTAAAATTTCGGACTTTTCCGAGTTTTTGAGCTGAGGTATAGAGAGTGCTTTCAAAAGTTGGGTCACTTTCAGGGCCCGGTTGACGGCATCTTTGAGTCCGTGGAGGCCAAGATGCGGTTCGAAAACAGGGAGCAGGTCCAGGTGCTCGACAAGATGTGCTCCGACCTGCGGGAGGACGACGAGGCCAACTTCGGTGGCTTCGTGGGTCCTTTGGACCGATTCCAATGGAGGGCCACGGGGGCGTACTACATGTGCGTCTTCACCATGCAGGTAAGTCCCCCCCCCTCCAAAAAAAAATGTGCACTGAGAAACGTTTCAAATTTTTTAGAAGAATGTCAAAAGTTTGAAAAAACATCCAGAATTTGAAAAACTTTAAAAAATTTCAAAAATTTTAAATTTTCTTTCTCAAATGGTCAAAAATTAAAAAAACTCAACAATTTCAAAAAATTTCATTTTTTTAAAAATTTCATATTTTTTGAAAGATTTTTAAAAATTTTAAAAAATTGCAAAAATTTCAAAACTTTTGAAAAAAATTTAGAAACTGTACAGAAAAATTTTGTGCTGTCCCCCTTGGAACCTGCAGTCCAAACGCCGCATTCTTGCTTAAAGCGTGAGCCCGCACTGCGCCATCTGGGCGAGCCGTGCGACAACTTCGCGTGGTGCCTGGACTGGGAGACGGGGCCCTCCCACGGGGACCCCCGCGCCCGGGACGCCGAGCCTTTCCAGTGTGCGCGCTACAGCTTCTGCCCGGACCCGTGCTGTCCGAAGAGGAGCGTGCGATCGGAGGCGGAGTGCGTGGAGGAGAACCCTTGTCGCCATGCCGACGTCAAACTATGTGAGACATTTTCCTTTTCGAGTCCCTCCTTCCTTCAAGACATACCACCGCCTTTAGCGGCGTCTTGTTCCAGCCGCACTGGAAGCCCCACAGCGACCGCGCTGCTCCCTGGCGGCCGCTGCCAACGGCAACCTCAGAGGGATGACGAGGAACCGCTGGAACTCGTCTTGCGCGTGCCGAACGCCGGGGTACCACTGGGAAGCGCGGTACGACTCCACCGTAAAGTTGGCCAGCGCGGCGCGCCGAGGAGCACGTGTCTCGGGGCAACTATAAGGGAAACAGGCTTCATCTGCCAAGAGGCTTCCTTTGACGCGAGCGAGAGCCGCCGGAGCGCGGCGGAGTGGGGTAACCACCGCCACTGCCAGGAGACCGGTGGAGGCGGCCAAAATCCAACGCGTTTTGAGCTCCAGAGTCGCTAAACGGGACTCGAACCGAACGTGCGACCCCACCAATGGACTGCTTTCCGAACGAGGAATCCATTGGTGGGGTCACACGCTCGGTTCCCTGCGACTCGGGGCGGGCAGTCTTGTTGCTCCGACAGTGTCTACAGGTGATGCGGCGGCTGGCTGCGCTTAGCGGTCCTGCCTGGCAAGGCGCCCGGTGCCGTTACTTGGTGCTGACTACGACGCTGGCCCCGCCTAAAGAGCGAACAGTGTGTCGACGGAGCAAAAAAAGCTCCGGCAAGCGACTTTTTACCCGTTATTTTCACCCAGTTTCCGCGGTTGACCTGGAAAGCAGGAATTGGTTGTCACCACACTGCAAGATTGACAGTGGGCCCGCTTTCTGCCAGTGTGGGCCGTTCATTGCGCCGCTTCTCCATAACTCAGGCCAAGGCCGGCCTCCCTCCGCCTTGCGACAAAACAGATGCGGCCTGAGCACCGGGGAATAAAGCATACACTGCCAACGCGAAAAAAAAAGAAAATCCCACGAGAAAAACAAAACGGTGGATTTTTATTTTCGGGTGGGGAGAGATCCATTAGAGCAACGTATTCTGGTAATTATTATCATTCCTCGTTAAGTTTTTTTTTCTCTCTTTTTCGTCGTGTCTTAGCGTGGCGCTGCGGGAAAAGTCGCAGCGCACTGCAACAGTTAAATTCTATCACACTTTATTGTTCTAAGTAGGCTTCATGCATGCACTGCACCACTGCGCTGCCATCGCGAGGGGCGTGCTGCGGCTGCGGGGGAGGGGGGAAGAGGGGGGGGGAGCGCATCGGGGCACGAGGGCCCCCTCGCACAGACGGACGCACCCCGGCGCCCTCTGGCTCCGTGATGCGACTGAGCAATGGCACGGCCAGGCAATAATCTGCCGGCCCGGCCAGGCCGCGTCAACTAGTTAAACTAGACGCGATTTCTGTCACGTGTTTTTACAAGCACGCTGGAAGACACTGAACAACTGCATCATCTACCGGAGTAGGGGTGTAGAAATACTGGTAAGGTTCAAAGTTACGTAAATGACGGAAAAATACGGTATTTTACCGTATTTTACGGTATTATTGGGTATAATCGAGTTTTGGCCGCCTCCGTCGGTCTTCTGGCCCACTGTGTGGTGTGACAGTGTGGCTCACCGACTCCCCCAGGGCGTCCCCCACATCGTCATCTTGACGCATCGCCGGTCCTCCAGGAGTTCGGAGCGCACCGCGCCGCACCGCCGCTGTACACAAACTGTGCTCGGCAGGTGCACCCCGGGGGACCTCCCACGTCAGATGCACTGCCAGAAGGTCCCGAAGGGTTCGTGTTGGCGCTGACGACGCAGCCAGGCTAATTCCACCACACTGCCGAAGCAGCAGGGAGCGAATCGACTTAAATAAAGTTGATTTCCTTTCTAATTTATTTTACTGACAGAGACTACCTTACAGCACAGTAACATTGTTTTTGGTGATTTTTCCACAGCCTGCTGCTCTGCTTACTGTAAAAATTCCGTACTTTTGTACGGAAATAGTACAGAAAAATAAAAATATTTTTTTAGTTTTTTTTTGCGTTTTGCACAGGTATGGGTTCTGCGTGGACACGGACGAGTGCGAGACGCAGTCACCGTGCAGCGCCGCGAACCACGAGGTAACAGGCCAGAGAGATACGATCTTTTTTAACGCCGCTATCAAATTGATCTGCGCCACAAACTAGGCAATCTGCATAACGGCAGGACTGCGTGAACACCGCGGGGTCGTTCACGTGCCGCTGCCGGTGGGGCTGGACCCGCGGTGCGGCGGGGCGCTGCATCCCGGACAGGGCCGCCCGCGCCGTGGCGGCCGCGCGCCGGGGAGGCGCAGAGGTGCCCCAGGACGGCGGGCACCGCGACCTCTGGCAGGTCCTGGAGGACGTCCTGGTGCCGCAGGAACCGGAAAACAACGTGTAAAAAGCAAAAATATTACTGGAAAAAAATCTTAAAAAAATACATTTTACAAAAACAACAGCACGTAATGACATTTCAAAACAAAAAAAAATCTCTTGCAAACGTTTGAAAAAAAAAGAAACAATAAAGAACACAACAACAAAGCCCAGAAGTGCCATTGAAATACATAAATAAATAAAAAATATTTCATAAATTTTACCTCCAAATGGCGAGTAAATGGATCCGGAAGAACGCAGTTGGCACTGGCCGCGCTCGGTTTGTCGGCAGGCTCGCCACAACAGCGGCACTTGCGGGCTGTCCGCGTGTTGCCTGTCAGCCAGGGCTGCCAACGACGTGCTCTCTGCCCCGCCCCGCCTCGCCCCGCCCCGCGGTCGCCACTCCAAGAACTGGCGCCCCTTGTCATAATGCCGGCGGGCTAATTTATGACCCGATCGTGCCATCGACCGAGGCGAGTTTTCGGCAGCAAGTCGGGCCACGTCCGAAGGGGCGCGATTCCCCGCGGACTTACAGTGGGGGCACTGTGTGGCGCCCCTCTCGCACGCGGCCCGGGTCCAGCCTGCACGGCCTGGACGTGACTACGTGACGAGGGGTAAATCAGGTGACGAAGCGACCAACTAGGGCGAAGGCTCCACCGCGCTAAACAGTCGGGCTTTTCCCGGGCCGTTGCACAGTGGGTCAGAAGGCCGGTGGAGGCGGCCGACCCGTTTTGTGCTCTAGAGTCGCTAGATAGGGCTCGAACGGAACGGGATTTTGGCCGCCTCCACCGGTCTTCTGGCCCACTGTGGGCAGCCTGGCCGGCTTCCGGCACGGAGAGGACCAATGAGCGCGCAGCAACAGCCGGCAGGTGAGAATGCCGGATGAGGGCGACCCCGGCGCGCCAATGACTGCGCCGCTCAGGGCGCCGGGGGAAAAGTGCAGCACTAAAGCTGTCGACCCGAAGAAATTGATCGCTCTTTTTAGTGGGCTTTGCCGGGCGGCAGGAAGCCGCGTCCAAGCCGTCCAAGCCCGGAGCTCAAGCAGCTGCCCGCCTCACCTTATAGTCGGGATTGATGGCCAATATAAAGGCGGTACAAAGCAGCCCGCCACTGCCGGGGCGCCGCGACGTGACCTCTGCTACGCCACTGCCGTCGGCTCAATAAATTCTATTCTTTTGCCCAAGTGCGGCCATCCCGGCCGGGAAACCTATCGGCCGCTTTCAAATTCAACCCGCATGGTAAAGTGACGACCGCGGGGCGTCATCGGCACAGAGGGCAGCAGCAGAGACATCGGCAGCAGCGGCAGCGCCGGGGCTCGTCCTCCACCAGCGCGTCGATCGCACTGCAAGCGAGCGAAGCAAGTGGGGCTCTTAGTGACAGGTGTTCTTCAGGAGGATCCTCAGGGCAGCCTCCAGGATGGCCTCCAGGAGGCCTCCAAGACGGCCTACACAACATTCTCCAGCTGCTTGCTCACCTCTCGCCGACGCCCTTCATGACGTTGCCGCAGATGGAGAACGGCACGTCCTTCACCTTCTGCGTGAGCTCGTCGTCGACGGGGGCCTCGCCGTCGGCCGGCTTCACGGCCCTCTTCTTCTTCCGCCAGCGTTTCTGCAAGGCGCGGACTGCAGTGGCGCCTCCCCGTGCTCCAACTCACAGTGGGCCAGAAGACCGGTGGAGGCGGCCAAAATGCCAGATGAGTCTTGAGCTCCCGGGACACGAACCGCACGTGTGACCTCACCAATGGATTGCTCATTCGGAGAGCAATCCATTGGTGAGGTCACACGTTTGGTTCGAGCCCCATTTAGCGACCCTGGATCTCAAAACGCGTCTCGAATTTGGGCCGCCTCCACCGGTCCTCTGGCCCACTGTGCGACTTACCCAGGCGAAGCGGATGAACCAGCAGAGCACGGAGAACAGCGCGCTGAGGCCACTGTAGAGCAGCGACTCGGCCAGGGCCATTGTCGGACTGCGACCTGGCCATGCCTAACTGGCAGGGCGGCCGGTCAGCCCGTCCGTGCCTACCTACCCAATCAATAGCACGATTACATCAGGACGCCCCCCTTCGCGTCCCTAAGCGGCCCGGAAGTCACTCGGCCGCAGATACCGGTGACATTACACAGATAAGCCATCCGATTGAGGAAGAGAGGCCAAGCTTTTAATTGGATATTGCTTTTTTATTAATTTACAAATAAAGTGGCAAGCCCGTGAGGGGTTGACTTTTTTCTGCATAGTGTTGGTTGCTGAAGATCATGCATTGTTGATAGATGACGCAATATCCTCTACCTGCTATGAGGAAAAAAGCTGTTTTAGTGTATTTTTGTTGTAATTTTTCCTGCCTCGATTTTAAAAAAACAAACGCACTCGCCTACGGGTTTTCACTAGTATTGAACTGCACGAGAACAACGAGGTACGTAACTATCGAAGACACGATCTGAGAGTAGAGAAGTCATTCTTAGTTTGTGCCATAAATGCAGTGAGCTCGCAGGATGCTTTAGCAGTGGACTCACCGTCGTCATAAGAGGGCGGTTGCAATTCATGAACCCAGACAGCGATGCTTTCGCCGGTTTTGCGGTAATACTCAAATAGAATAGTTGGATCTTTGAATGGGCAAAATTATTACTACGTATTAAAGGAGTTTTGCCACACTTTTGCACTTCTGAATTCATGTGTGTACTCACTGCCTTGCTTGTCTCCTCTCCCGTCGCCGTCATAGCGATCTGGTCCAGCCCTCGTATAAAGGCGTCATTCAACTAAGAAACAGTGAGATTAATTCACAGCGAATTTTAAAGGCGCTCTTAACGGATTTTTACAGGGCACTGTACCTCGACCATGCATCGGTGCGACTCGTTGCAAAGGAAGAAAATGTGCCCCAGCATCGCGCAGCAGACGACACCCTGACTGATTGCCTTGTCATAGTGCGCCTTGCACCGAAACTGGATCACTTGGTACAGCGACAGTGTCAGGACCAAAAACATGATGCTGAGAATAGAGAAAATGAGCAATCGCAGGGTGGAGCACCCCTCCAAGTTTTCTCGAAGCCGGATCCACAGCTTTCTCACGTGTTGAACGTGGGAAGCAGACTGGCCCTTCAGCGGCTGGAAACGAGGTGAGTCCTGACCTGATCCTACACCAAAAATAATTTACGTTGTAAAGATGCAACTCACAGTCTTCAGATGGTGGAGAATCTGTGCCGCTCCCTGTCGGAGAATGACAAGCCACGTGGTGTACCAGAGCGTCGCATTGTAGCAGACAATGGAACTGGCAAAGTAGGTCGGTAAAAAGTGAAGAGGGATGTTTCCGTAGTAGGTCATGGAACCCAGCAGAACCACGTTCCCGACGTAAATCATGAACGTAATCTTCCGGTTACGTTTATTGACCCTACTGTTGTCCAATTCCCTTCCCATTAATGCCTCGTGCTCAATCTGCAACATTTGTTGTTTTACAGAAACCGACGGAAGGCCTTAAACGGAAATAAAGTTGATGATCTGACCTGGTACTTGGAGAAGTGAATGACCTTCTCCTCATAATCCGAACACAGGATCCATACGAACGGAACCAATACGATGGGGGCAGCCGCCAGCAAGGAATGCAATAACTGAAGCTTTTCGTTCAAGTTTATGACCGGATCGGACCCGAAGATCAGCGGGATGACTTGATAGAGCAGTCGGACGGTGCATGTGATCACAACGGCATTTACGCCGATGCAATAAAGAAGCGTTGATCCAAAGAGACTCTTGCTTGGAAAATCTAAACACGAAGCGAAATGAATGCAACAAATAAGGCAGACGCATAAGTTCGTTCAAGGTGTTCACCATCGCTTGACTTTCCCCATTTCCGCGCATTAAATTTTCATCCTGTACCTGGAATCTCAATCCAAAAATATTCCACGAAACTTACATGGGGGAGCCAGTTGGATGGGCACTTGTCCACATAACGCCAATGACACAAAAATTGGGCGGAACGGGCAGACTTCTAGCTTTCTCCTGATAAATTCAGCGTCCCTCTCTGGAACCTCTGCAATATTCAGTTGTCACATTACTATCCGCACCAGGAAGGGTTGCGACTCTAGTTTGAAATGGTTAGGTTTAGTTGAATTTCGAAGAGTAATGCTCACTATGAAGTCTGAACTTGGCCGTCAAGTTTCCGGTGCGTGGTGCCATGATGCGAAGCAGAGCCGAGTACCGACTGCCCCGGGCTGCTCCCGCTGCAAACCCCCCAGCCGCAAACGGCCGCGAACGAATCGATGAAATTCAACTATCACGCTAATGTGTTTATGCGTTTACTGCCGGCCTAAGGGCCTGGGCGATGGCCAGCACAAACACATTCACCGATGAAAAATAACAAATAAACGCACGCGCCGCGACTGAGGCAGGCAAAGGTAAACAACTTTTTTTTACCCCTCGCATAAAAAAATAAATACGCTCAGCAAGCGGATTCTTTGGGAACATTACCATCTTGCCAAAACGGCCTTGCAGCAGCAGAAGCGACGGCCTCGGAGTTCTTCCAGCTCTCTAGGCAAAATCATTCGGGAATCATTTGGCAGGCCGCCAACATTACGCACATCATCTGCCGCCATGCCTTCGGCCGTGCCTCGGGCCATGCACCGCCTTGCACATCAGCCGCGCCTCATTCCGGGCCGTTCACACGGTCGATAAAACAGGACGCGCCAGGAATGGCCCATTTTACAGGGCGGGGCGTCCGCAATTTTCGTTTCCAGTGTCTAACCGACGCCACGCGACACCGCCGTGCCTTCCTCTTCCTCTTTGGGTTGGTTGTTCACGCGCTGCCAGAGGGAGTCAACTGCCCCTCCACGCCACGTTGCCGCCCCGCCGCCACCCTGCTGGCGTAACAGATTATGGCGCCAGAGCAACGTCTTTCTGCGAGCGGATTTCTCGCGTCGCTCTCAGAGACCCAAAGAGGGACAAGAGTGGCTTTACATTTCAAGGAGTGTAGGGTGCAGCGCCTTGAGGGTCACGTCTCTGCATTCCGGCTCTCGAGTCAGTCTCTCTGGGCGAGTCTCACTAAAAGGAAGTCAAACCTCACGTGTGACCCCACCAGTGGATTCCTCGTTTGGAGAGCAATGCATTAGTGGGGTCACACGTTTGGTTCGAGCCCCATTTAGTGACTCTGGAGCTCAAAACGCGTTCGGGATTTCAGCCGCCTTAACTGGAGACGCGGCAACGCGTCTCCGATTCGCCGCCGGCGTTGAGGCCCCGTCCGAAGCTCGCGGGCTCTCGCGGGGTATCGGCTCGTCGGACACGGCGTCTCGATTCTCTCGATTCCATTCCAAGTTGCTCGCGGTCAGACACTACACCGCGCCAAGTTTCTAATTGGCTCGCCTTGTGGCCGAGACAGGCCGCCGACTGGACGCCGCAAGACGGACTCGGCGGAGTGGTCCGCAGAACGAAACGCACGGATATTCACAGCCACATCCACGTTCACTTTCACGTTCAAAGTTGCTGTCAAATTTTATTTTTCTTGAACTATTGAGGCACATTCGATTTTGTATCTGCTTTTAAAATCAAATTCTCCTTTGGTTTCGACTTAACAGCAACTTTTAAATTTTCTTTCAATCTCACTTTCGAACTCTTTTTCTAAAATTCACTTCACCTATTCTTTCCTGTTTTTTTTCCCCTATGGATGGATATATAGTATAGCCCCGGCTCATCCGGGCGGCTCGGATCGTCGCCGAGCGATGGCCCGGTTCCCCGGTTTATATAAAGCAGGACCGTACGTTACAATAATAGCGGCAGGTGGACGTCCACTGGACGGGCCTGAACCACCCCAACGTCCCTCCGACGGCGGAGGGCCGCCAGGGTCGGTCGACAGGCAGGGGCAGGGCCGCGTCGGAGAGGTCCTGGGGACAAGATCGGCTTCCTGGAAGTGAAAGTAAGAAGAAGAAAACATTTGCTAGTGTACGCCCGCCGCTGAAACCCAGGAAAAATTTCATAGGATTCACCGTTGTTGAAAGGGTTGCCAACCTCTGGCTGCCTATTAGTCAATGTCAGGTCTGTACTCTCGAGGTTGCAGCTACACTAAACTGGAAAAAAAATTCCTCCCACGCCACCTGAGAACTCGCTATATTTATATATTACAGAAAACCAATTCCGAGAGCTTCCCTCGGAGACAAAAGGCGGCGAAGGTGGCCCGGGAGGAAAGGGACGAAATAAAACGGACGGTAGGTGTCATACGTGCGACAGCCCAGAAAGAGGAGGAAAAGAAACCACAAAAGAGGCCCAGAGTGTTTTCTCGACTGGCGGGTGCGACTGACACGTTGATTCCCTCCCCCTCCCCCTCCCCCCCCTCCCCTCCCCGTCCTCGCCCGCTGTCTCCATGGAGACATTTTAGCACCCTGCACTGGTTGACGCGTCCAGTATTTCAGCCAGTAGGCTGGCCGGTGTGGTGGTGGTTACAAAAAAACAAAAACAAAAAAAAACCGCGCCGTTAAAAAAAAGAAAAAAGTTTATCTAATTGTCAGGAGTGAAGTGGGTATAAGCCGAGGGGGGAAAAAAGAAAAGTGAAAACAAAGCCGAAACGAAGGCCTGGCGCGAAACTATCAACGTCACGGAAGTGGATCGACACGGAAGCGTCGAGAGATCGATTAACCGAGCGCCTTGCACAACAACGCCCCTGCAGATGGCTGGCAAATTAACAGCAGGCCGTCGCTCTGTCTCTCTCCCACTCACGGGGAGGCCCATGAGGGAGAGGGAGAGAGAGAGGGGGGGAGGAGGGGCAGAGAGCGATGAAGCAGCCCACAGGATATCGTCCTGATCTCCGATTATTCGGGGAATTGGCACGACTCTGCCCGACGGCAAAGAGAGCCGAGTGATTTCGGGGGAGTTCATTCGGCATGGATTCGAACCGGCCGCGTTATGCGCCATCGGGGAACTTAGACGGGCGCGACCCCAATAAAGGAATGGAAAGGGACCACCCCGACGGGTGAAGTCGTCGTCGTCTTGCGCACGAGGGGACGCGCAAACGAGAGCGAGAGAGACGAAGTGACTTTCGGAGTCAGTCCGCAGGCCGAACCGCCACGCAGTTCGGCGCCGTGCCGCAAAAGGCATGGCCGGGCCCGCACATGGTTCGAATTTGGCGCCGCCTTGCCTTGGTGCGGGAGAGAGAGAGCGAGAGAGAGAAGAAAGAGAGTAGCGAGAGCCGAACGAGCGTCGGCGCCTGCCCTGAGGCAGCTGCCGCTGTTTGTGCCCCGGCATGCCTTTCGCGTCCGATCAAAACGGCCTGCAGGGCCTCCACGGCGCGCGCGGCCTCGGACACGCGGCCCTTGACGGCCTCGACGCCCAGGCCTCGGACAGGCCTCGGACACTGCGTGTCGCCGCCCGCCATCAAACGCCATCGGGCCCCCGGCGCGCGAGACGGCCTCGGACACGGCCCATTGACCGCGCCATCGACCGCCCAAATTAGCTCGGAGCTTGATTTTCACCGAATTTGGGCATTTTTTTAACCCATAGCAGTGTGAATAGTGCTAAGCTAATGCGTCCCCGAACATTTTCCTATTTTTTAAAATGATTCATTTTTAGTTGGCAAAGCGGGGAATGCCCACACGTAGGCCTTCCCCGTGCGGGGCGTTACTCCGCGGGCTCCAAATTGTCATTACCGAACTGCCAATAGCGTCGCGGGCCGGAAATCCAAAAGCCAAAAAGCCCGGCAAATGGCGGAGCGCTTTGCGAATAATGGGACACGGTGGATGGAGAGAGAGAGAGACAGGAACAGTGGGTGGGGGGTAAAGGAAAAGGAACGGTCGATGTAGATACAGCAATAAAAGTGTAAGGGGGGAGGGGGGAAGGGAGCAGATGGATGCGGGGGAACGCAGGTGGGTGCGTGCGGGGGTAGCAGGCGGCAGGGGCGAAAGTGAAAACAGGGCAGCCCGGCTGATACTTGGTGACGCGGGGAACGGAAAGTCGAAACAGTGGGCACTCTTCAGGCTCGTCTGGCGTTGAGAGAGAGAGAGAGAGAGAGAGAGAGAGAGAGAGAGAGAGAGAGAGGGGGGGGGGGGCACCTAGATAGCCGTCTAAAAGGTAGGCAAGAGGCCTCTGTAAGTAGGCAAAAAGTGCCACTTCGCCTCCCCCCTCCAGGCTACTGCCGCTGGATCCGCCCCTGGTTCTGCCGGCGCGCGAAGGAAGGGTTAATCCCGTAATAGTCTGACGCGAATCGCTACTCTGGGCGAGTTTTGAAATTGTGGCCGAGAAGGCGACATGCAAATAAAGTCGGGTCTCGCAGCGCGTCGCTGGGCGGGGCCGGGCCGGCCGGGCGGTGACGATAAGTTTGCTTTCCAGCTAATAAGTGTCATGTGAGGAAACTCCGGCTGGGCGCGTCCGAGAGGTGGTGCCGTGGTGGTTCACAGTGTGCTTGCCGCCAGGGCAGTGTGGGCCCCGCCCGCACGCAGCCCGTATCGCAATTGTGTTTCCCCGCGGTGGCAATATAGGGAGTCTGGTGCCTCCCAGGGGCGCAGGGCCGCTGCCTCGGCGGCTGCCTCCGTTGCCTCCGTGCATGGCGGGGCGGCGGCGCGGCGGCGGTACAGTCTTGGCAGCGACCCGGCGCCGCCCACGCACAGCCCCTAATGACTCCCGCACTTCCAGGAATTTCGCGCATCAGGGACTAGCCGGCCTGTCGTCGCGGCGGCTGCGGCCGTGCAGGAGCAGGCCGAAGTTCCTGCCGTGCACCTGCGTGGAAAGGCTTGCCGACATCAGCGCAGTGTGCCGGAAGACCTGCGGAGGCGGTCAAAGACCCCGGACGCGCGTTTCGAGCTCCAGCGTCGCTAAATTAGGACTCGAACCGGACGTGTGACCGCACCAATGGATGGCTTTCCAAACGAGGAATCCATTGGTGGGGCCACGTTCGGTACGAGTCCCGTTTACCGACCCTGAAGGTCAAAACGCGTATAGAGTTTTGCCTGGTTGTGAGGTGCGGGATAGTGTCTCTAGAGGAAGCTCGGAGTGGCGTCCGCAGTCTGCACTGCTGCACCGCACACACAGCATCGACTATGAGTGCGGCAAAGGGCGGACCCGGCGGACGATGCGCCATGCGCCCGCAGCGCGGCAGCGCGGCCCACAGCGGGGTCACTTCGAGTGTGCTGGCTCTCAGGGCCCTCCTTGCCGCGAGGACGGTGAAGGTGCATGGCACTGCACTGCACGTATGCTGCTACTGCCGGAGTGCAAATGCAGGTTGACTCTGCGTGGAACGTAAGTACACTGCAGAATGTGCGATTTAACGATAGTCCCGCGCCTCCTCCTCGTCCTCCTCCTCCTCCTCCTTTTTCTTCTTCTTCTTCTTCTTCTTCTTCTTCTTCTTCTTCTTCTTCTTCTTCGTCTTCCCTCTCAGAAATTTCTTGGAATTTTTAACATTTTTTTTATAGTGAAACAAGCTAGGTAGGTACCTCGGCCACGCCTTTCCGGCCGGCGTGCTTTGGCGAGTAGTTGACTTGCAGTGCGGGAAGCGGGAAGCCTCGGCGCACTGCGCAGGCAGCGCAGGCCTTAGCGGCACATCAAGAGGGACTGTGCCAACGCCAACCGACCGAAAGCCAGCAAGCGTGGAATAAAAGCTGGGCGCGATGTAATAAAGGGCGGAACCAGGCAGGCGCGTTCGGAAGAACCATCCTCCGTCTCCCTCGCACGCGCGGGCCGCCGCGTGCGAGAGAGACAGAGTGCCGTCGGCGCAGCGCTTTTTTCATCCGGCCGTGGATGCAGGCAGGTAAGTGAATCAATCTCGCCTCGTGAAAGTTAATGCTTTTCATGCGTTCAAAGCCCGACCCTGTTCCATCCTGTTTCGCGCCATTTTCCGCGTGGAAAGTCAACGCAAACTTTGTTACGGACGTCTTTGGCGACTGTCCCTTCGCGTCCCGACGTCGTCCCGTTCACCGGCTTTAGTTGCCTTTACGTGTGTTTGCGCCAAGTTGCTAATGCAATTTTCACTTTCAGAGTGACGCGCACTGTCGGGCTAAAAAGGCCACCAAGGCCGCGGCCCACAAAGCCTCCGCCTCGCTCTGACAAAAAACAAAAGACGTTTTTGTGCGAGTGATACCGGGGCCACTTAGTGGCGAAGGGACCGCGTGAGTGCACGCGGTGGCCGCGAAAAAAATGGCGTGAGCCGGGAAACTCGTTTGGCGCCGAGTTGAGTGTCCCCGTTCGTTCAGCCGCTTCTGCGGAGGCGGTCGAAATCCCGGATGCGTTTTGACCTCCAGAGTCGCTAAATGGGACTCGAACCGAGCTTGTGACCCCACCAATGGATTGCGCTCCGAACGAGGAATCCATTGGTGGGGTCACACGCTCGGTTCGAGTCTTGTTTAAAAAAATATGAAAAAATCTTTGCTGAATTGCTTTTAAACAATCTCCAGCATCTCCAGGTTCCTGAGGGTTGCCATCATCACGTTCCCCGAGACCCAGTTCCACGCGAAGCGGCCGAAAACGCGAGAAATGAGAAGGAAGGGGAAGGGAAGGGGAAGGGAGGCCACCGTCTGCCACGGCCCTCGGCCTGCAGGGCGCAGGCCTACCAAACTCATGCATACGACGCCCGACCGCCATCCCGGAGTACCGGAGCCAAATCCTCCTGAAGGCTCTGGTAAAAATTGATAGGGAAATGAGGTCTTTTGCAGAGCCCTGGAGGAGGACGAAAAAAAGCGGGGGGGGGGGGCGATGCGTGGAACAGGTGAGGCCCCGAAGAGAAAAGTCGTTGCGAGTTGCGAGCTGGTCCTGGGCTTAGGAGATATGGGGAGGAGCTCTGCGAGAGACAGAGAGGGCAAATGGGGGACACTCCAGGGCCAGGGCGAGGCCCCGTCACCGTATTCAAGGTCAGCTTGACGCTGAGAGAGACGGAGCACTGCGGCTCCGCACCGTCATGGCACTGGACCTGCACCCAGTCCCGGTAAAGGCAGGTGACAGCCTCCACCCCCTCTCTAAGAGCAAGGGGAAAAATGGACCCTCTTCTTGTCGGCTGCAACCACGGGTTCCGATTGGCGGTCTGGCAGGGGGCTGTTTGCGCCGCCGGCCGGAAGCACCGAAACCCCAGGCCAAATATTGGCTCCATCCTGATCAGGGGGATTAATCACCGCGACACGGCGACGGCGGCCTCCCTCCGCAGGGCTGCCCCGCAAACAGGGCGGATGGAGATTCTTGCTCGTTTCCTGTTTGCCTGTGGCTGACGCGGTGTGTGCCAAAGCCTAGGAAGCAAAGCGAGCTGCTAGGACATTCTCGGACAGTTTAAAAGAGAAAAAAAATCCGATGGCAAATGCAATGGGGCACTCGGACCGTCTGAAATATTCGCAAGCCCACTGCAAGGCTATGGCCCTGCAGAAAGAGGTCGGAATGCTCCTCTCTGGGACGGCTCTCCGCCCACTTTGGTTCCCGATACAGCCCTTAAGAGGGTCGGCTCGCCTGTGTTTGCGCACTGGACATCTTCTTTTGCCTGCAAGCCGTCCTCCGCTCTGGACCCAACTGGACCGCCCCCCCCCCCCCCCCCTCCTCTCTCTCTCCCCTGGGACGATCGGTTCTATCATTCCCCAGCCAGCCACCACCCGAGTCAGACCCGTGTCCAGTGTTCCCCGACGCCTTCGAGACGACGCTTCAAAGGGCGGGGAGTGGCGCGATGGGTGCACAGGCTCAAGGCTGGCCGTCGAAATGGCATGGCTGGAGTCGCCACTCAGGACCCTGCAGCCCCCCCCCCCCCCCCCCCCCCCGGTCCACTGAGAGACCGGACCAAGAGGCAACTTGACCACCACTTGCAATGCATCGCGTCGCCTTGGCGTCGGCAACACAGTACTTGTCGCAGCACTGCAGGAAGGAACTTTCCACCCTCGTGTCGTGTGTGGGTTTCTCTCCGTGGCTTTTTGACACCACTACTCTGTTAGCAGAGAAATTGCGAGATTTATTCCTGCTGCTCCAACTGCATACTGCAAATAAAAATTCACATTAACGGACTTTCTTTATTTCAACACTTCTTTTGGTACCCTGCTTTTTGGAATGGTCTAGGAATGAAAACAACAGTGTGTTCTTTTTATACAAAACGAATAGGGCTTTATTTTATTTTACACTAACGTGTGTACAAATCATAAATTTACGGTCATATGAAAGTAGGGCATTCTGCTTTAAACAACAAGGCAAAAATCAAATACCATAATTTAGTTTACAAATCATACGCTAATTTGATATTTCTTCAGAAAGTTCGCACACTGCAGCATAAATTAGAAAATAGACGAAACAGAATGACAAACCAACCGAAGCTAGAAGGAAAATAATAGAGGCTTGCAAAATAATCTCTTCATCAGGAAAACAGACTTAGAACAAATTGATATTTTTCATCACATTCACGTACTCATGCGAGGACAGAAACATGTCAGCGTCTAATTTACAATTATTATTTACAAAAACTTAGCTTCAAAGCTGTACATTCACACCACTCCCAACAACGAACGTGCACGCATAAGACCGTGCTTTATACACACATGTGCACATCACAGAATTCACAATATAATTATGCCAGTCATTGTCCTTAAGCTTTCCTATAAAGCTCCATACAAAATCTTTTTTGGATCCACTTCACAAAATAACCGAAACAATATTTGAAGAGGTCGCCGTCACCGCATCGGTGACCATTATTGCAAACACTCAGCGCAATGCTGTATTCCCTGCAACTGCAACTCGATGACTCATCCCAACCAGCAAATTCATTTGACCATTCACTCACTAGTTGTTTGCACTACAACACGTTTTGTACTTGAAAACTGAGCAGGTCTTCGAGTCTGCTGTATCCCTAGCAAACGAATAAAACGAACTTCGTTTTCCCCTCGCGAAAAAATGAACACCCCAGCTGCACTAATCACTCAAAAACAACGGACCGTTTAAATCGAAATCGTTCTCTTGGATATGAATAGACCGCTGACCGCGCGAACGGGGCCAAACTCGTTGGGGCTGAATGTTCGCAAGATGTGCCGTGCTGGTTCGGGCCGGGCCCGCGGCGGGGAGGCCTCGGAACGGGCAAACTTCGGCGTCGATCAACAACGCCGGAGCGACTCGCCGCTTGGAAGGCAATCCGACGCAGTCCGACGCAGCCCGACGCAGCCCGACGCAGCCCGACGCAGCCCGACGCAGTCCGGGCATCGGCGTCGTCCTCGTCGTACTATCGCACCCGCAGGACCCGCACGGCCAGCACGGCCAGCGTGAAGGCGAGCAGCGACTGCGGCGTGGAGGCGCAGGGCGCGGCGTGGCCGTGGTGCATGGCGGCGGGGTGCTCGCCTGGAGGACAGCAAGGGCACGGTGTCAGTCAAGCTCCCAGCCATCGCGCACAGTGGGCCACCGGTGGAAGCGGTCAAAACTTTAGACGTGTTTTGGGCTGCAGAGTCGTGAAATGGGACTCGAATCGAACGTGTGACCCCACCAATGGATTGCTCTCCGGATGAGGAATCCATTGATGGGGTCATACGTTAAGTTCGAGTCCCATTTAGCGACTCTGGAGCTCAAAACGCGTTTAGAATTTTGTCCACCTCCACCGGTCTTCCGGCCCACTGCATCCAGTTACACCAGTAAAAAGGAGCGGGTACCGTTGAGGATGTGGACCCGGACCGTGGCGGCAGTTGCCCCCGTGGGGTCGCAGGTGTATTCTCCGGAGTCGGTGGGACTGGCCCGCTGGATGAGCAGCCGACTGGAAGTTTCTGGTCCTTTTTCCGTCACGAGGCTGATGCCGCCGCGCGGAGAGTCGAAGTTGATTTCCTGCAACAGATGCAGACAAGGTTTACAAACAAAGTTTAGGGGGAGGCCTCCGTTTCTTTTCCCTTCTGTGTTCCCACTTGAAAGTGCTAAGCCTATCGGGGCTTTTGTTCCCCCGTCGATTCGGCCGACCGTCCGCGGCAGAGATGCGGAACGGTCCATCTCTCCACGATGATCATTTCGTGATCGGCTTACGGTTCCATTGATACGGCTTTCATTATTCTACCCTAGTTCGCGTGCGCGTTCTGCTTTTATCTCTGGACGCAGAAATTAGCCGCCGTCAGCGCTGCCGTTTACCATGGCAGGGCCTCGGCGACGCGTGGCACGGAAAGCGCAATTAAGAACTCGGCCAACACGCCGGATAAGGCGTGGCTCTCTGTCTCTCTCGCACCCGAGCGGCGGCCCTTGCGGGTGCGAGAGAGACAGAGAGTGTCAGCTTCCGGGGGCAGCGCGCGTCACCGTACCCGGACGCGGCCCTCGCGGTCGTCTGGCAGAGACGCATACATATTCATGCAATTAACCGGGCTGGATTACCTGCCGGAGTGTCTTATACGGGCCGGATACCTGTTGCGCGACCGAACGACAGAACACGCTTCGAGGCCCGGGCGCGCCCCGACCCCGGGCACGCTCCATCGCACAGCAATGCGGGGCTGTGCTGTCTTGCCGACACTGCGCCGAACGGACAGTCGACCGGGACCGGGGGCACGTCAACGTCAACTCACAGTGGGCCATCCGGCGCCAGTGGGCAAAACTCTAGACGCGTTTTGAGCTTCGGAGTCGCTGCATGGTACTCGAACCGAACGTGTGACCCCACCAATGGATTCCTCGTTCGGAGAGCAATCCATTGGTGGGGTCACACGTTCGGTTCGAACCCTGTTTAGCGACTCTGGAGATCAAAACGCGTTCGGGATTTCGACTCTGGCCCACTGTGCGACGGGTGCGGCACAACTTCGCAGCCGCAATGCCAGATGCGACCCCCGTCTTCCGAAGGGCCGCAGAGGCAGGCAGGTGCGAACCATGCAAATGAGGCGGTGTTTAGTCCACGGGCCGTGCGGCCAAAGAGGTATGACACCCGGGCAGCACGGCACCGCGGTCCGGGGCGGTCCTGGCTGGACGGGGGCACTGATCCAGGCAAATGCCAGCGGGGGGAGGATCCCAAACCGAGACCCGGGCAGAGGCCCGAGACCCCAGACCGAGGTCTATAGGGCAAAGGCTTTGTGCGACGGCCTGGCCGGGGCCTGGCCGGGGCCGGGGCAACGACGCCCAGCGAGAGATGGATGGCAAGGCACCTACACTGTGAGGAGGCGGGGAGTGGGAAAGGTCGTGCACAAGGGCCGACTTTCCTTGGGCGGAATGTGCACTGGAGGACAGGGTGGCACGTTGCTCCCAGACTTGCCCAAAAGGTTGTATGTCACGCGGTTTCTTAAAATAACTTCGGGGGAAATGAAGGTGTTTACTTGCCGCAGAGTCACCAACGCCACTTTTCATTTTTTTCCCCTTGGCTCACCTCCGAATTGTGGCTCCAGACCATGGTCGGCGGCGGGTCCGGCGAGTGTTTGACGACGCACGTCAAGTTGATGGTGCTGCCCTTGTTGATGAAGAGCTCGGGGCCTCCCAGGATTTCCGTCTCGGGCTCTGCGAAACGAAAAAAAAGGAGGTCACAACAAAATCAATTATTTCGAAACATTTATCCCGTCCGAATCCCATTTTGTGGCAGTGCACTGGCGCGTCTGTCCGGGAAGGCCCGCGATGCCGTGATGCGATGCGGCAGAGCGACTCATTTCCGAGGCCCGGTTTGGCCGGGTTGGTCGGGTTGGCCGCGGGGAAGGAGGCGACCGGGCCCGTCGACAACTGAGATATGGCACCCACCCACGCCTACCCGGTCCGCCACCTGCCGAGTGGAGGCGGCCATATTGAAGACGACACGCATTCACAGGGACCCTGTTCTCACAGTGGGCCAGAAGACCGAAAGCCGGCGGCCAAAACTCTCGACGCGCTTTGAGCTGTAAAGTCGCTCAACAGGACTCGACCCGAACGTGTGACCCCACCAATGGATTCCTCGTTCGGAGAGCAATCCATTGCTGGGGTCACACGTTCAGTTTAAGTCACATTTAGCGACTTTTCACGTTTTCTTTCGAAGAAGTTTTCCCGACCGAGGCGAAAGGGTGTTTGGTCGCCACACTGCAGAAGAAGGTACTGAGGCGGCCCGGTCCGATAGTAGCCACACCCGTATCCGATCGGCCCGGGAATGCCGCTTCGACTAAGCTATCTCCGAGGACCCATTTAGCGCGCTCGGCGGTATAACCCCGGCCGGCTTGAGGGACACGGGCCAGGGTCGTTTCGGTAAGGGTCTCAAGTCTCTGTTGTTTTCAAAGTGCTCCGAGCGCAGCGCTCCGCCCCCTCCCCCTCCTTCTTCCGCACTTCCGGTTTCGTCCGCAAGACTTTTCCCTTCCCTCCGTCGCGCTCCGACTCACTTGGAAATCCACCCGATTTCCCTTTCACCTCACCTTCGGGACTCTTCGGCAACCTTCGGCAACCTTCGGCGCACCGCACCGGGGCCAAAGTCAGCCCCAAACTGCGCCGCGCGCCAAAAAGAGAAAAGGCAACGGTACCGCTTCAAAAAAATAATATTCTTTCGCCGCTCTTCCCTTTCCTGTGTAAAAGGGAAATATAGATTCAGGGGCGGGCCGATTCAAAAGGGAGCGGAACCTACCAAACCTCTATGTGTGTCTGCCCGTGTGTTTAAATAGAGGTGTTTGTGTGTGTGCGTGTGTTCGTGTGTGTTGTTAGTGTGCGTTTGGAGGGGGGGGCACAAAACCTTTCCTGATATATTTATCGTGGTTAGCCGACCGTGGCGCCCGTTAGCATGTGTGAATCCATTCCATTAGTGATAACCAGGTTACCGTCCACCAGGCCTACCGCCGCCCGCGCCCCTGTCGCGCTGGTGTGTGCGGACGCACGGACGGATGGACACACGGGCAGCCGGAGGAGGACGAGAGAGAGAGAGAGAGAGAGAGAGAGAGAGAGAGAGAGAGAGAGAGAGAGAGAGAGAGAGAGAGAGAGAGAATTGCATGGCGCCGGAACGGTGCAGCAGTGCAACGATGCAGTCGTTGCTTCTTGTTGCCTTCTGGAGATGGGGCTGCCTGCCTGCCTGGCTGCCGGCCTGCAGGAGGGAAGCGAGCCTAATCTACCCTAATGGGCGTTTCTGCGCGGCCCGGATAAGGAGAACCACCTCAGTGCGGCGTTTGCACCGCATTCAAAGTCCGGCCCGGCCCGGCCCGGCGACAAAAACCAAACCCTGCTTCCTTTTTTTGCAGTGTGGCTTCGATCTGAGATACGGTGGCGCTATGCCTTATCGTAGCGGTGGGAAAAAAACCAACAGGTGCATTAACAGTTGCTGCAATGTCCCTGCACTGATAATGAGACCCTCCTGGTGCAGTGCGGTGGCGGCATGAGTCAGACGAAGCCGAACCAAGAACAACGCACGCGGAAGCAAGGACAAGAAAAAAGACGACCTTCGCCCACCCAAAACGACCGCGGAGTTTCATGTTCGAATCCGGCATGCATGAGGACGGTCTTCATCAGCGGCGCCGAGGCCGCCGAAAGCGTCGCCATTGTTATTTTAGGTGGAAATGGGTAATGGAGCATCGTGGGTGATTTGTTTGCTCTGGTCACCTGCTGCGCGCGGCCGGCAGGAGGGATCAAGGCCGGGGTGGGGGCCCCACTGCAGTGGCGCGGATCCCCCGGCACCATGGAAAGCCCCTCCCCCCCCCCCCTTCCCTCTTCCCCGCCTAGACCGCACAACACCTCTTTCACCATGTCATCCCACCGCCCGAATCCCCCAAACAGCCTGCCCAGATGGGTGACCTGCGGTCTTTGAACACGCACGCGCGCGTACTCCCCCCCCCCCACACACACACACGAGGGGGCTGCCGCTGGCAGGAGGGCAACAAGGCACAGTGTCGTTTGTGTCGTAATGAGGCGGGCGGCTCGAGCATTGACGAGCGCAGCACTTTAGTTGTCGCCCTAGTCAAGCCTGCCGTGCCGTGCCGTGCCCTGCCGCGGGCCTGGCCGTCGGCGTCGCGTCGGGGCCTGGAGCGTGCCCAAACTGCCAACACTGCGTCTCTTTTCTTCTGATTCATCGCGCTGCTCTGCGCTCGCGGGCTCAGAGACACCCCCCCCACCCTTTTCCAACCTTCCGTCAACCATTATCACCACGCCTCCGTGCTGTCAGGGCGGAGACTTTAAGGTTTGGGACGGATAAATTTACGTTCAGAACTGTAGCCTCCGTCTTGAATCTTTCAAAAAAAGCGCTAAGTTCAGGAGTCAAATGTCGACTGGTTTAATGACCGTACGTCAAACGACCTTGTCAAACGACCACCAGTTAAATGACTACCAGTGAAATTACCATCAGTGAAATGACCACCAGTCAAATGACTGAATGGATCAAAGACAAGTGTCGTCCACCCGCAAAGCACCAAGAAAAAACCAGTCCCGTTTTTCTTTTCCCTTGGTTTCGGCACGTACAACCACTGGCCCGTGCCTCGCGGCATGCATCCCGCGAGATACCGGCACGGCCGGAGAGATAAGCCCGACGTATATATTGCCGGGCCGTCGGACACAGCGTCAAGTCGCGGACAGTCGCGGGGCGGACGGACAAGCGGGACCGCGTGGTATGACAAGGCAGTGCTGACAGCATGGCAGCTGTAGCGAGGCTGCTGCTGCTGGTGGCAGGTAAGGGACGAGGCAGAAAGGGAGAGAGAGAGAGAGAGAGAGAGAGAGAGAGAGAGAGAGAGAGAGAGAGGCGCGAAACAGAAGAAATGTCTTGTGTTGTGCGGAATTTTGAATATGATGACCATTTTGTTGCAGCGGCAGGAGTCCTCCACGCTAACGCGTTACCACTCGAAGACGGTCATGGTCTCGTATACGAGCATCTCACCATCAAAAGGGCAAATGGTGAGTCCGACTTTATTATTTCATTTGTCTGCTTTCCATTTAAATGTTACAAAGGGTCCAGTTACGCAAACAAAGTCGCTACTGAAACATGCTTGAATCAAATGCTGTTCATGGCGTAATTTGTACCGAATTATTAGCTTAAAAAAATAGCCACCGTACTAGAAAACTTTTGCTAAGCCGACTGGCCAACGGGAGTGCAGGCTTTGTCAACAAACGACACACCTGCGCTCGAACCTGTACACACCCCGTCGCTCTCGAGGACTCTGACCCGCGGGCCAACAACATAATCTCGCTTGTACTGTACCTCGGCGTTACACAACGCCGCCTCGCATGGCAGCCAAAACAAACACGTGGATAGTTCCCGTAGCATAATGCGAATGAAAATCGTGTTGACGAACTTAGTAGAATTTAAAGTGGACCTGGAGGCAGGACACTGCCTGCGTTTGAGTTTTGATGATGATGGTGATGATGACAGGTGACGTCATGATGAACCTGGCCGTGGAGGGCGGCATGAACGGGCGGCTGCGCTCCCCGGCGGCCTCCACGTCGTGCAAGACGGCCAAGGACGGCGACGACGTCCTGGACTGCCGGCGCTGGCCCGACGGCCGCACGCTGCGCGTCACCCAGCTGCCCAGCGGGTGCTTCTTCGTGGAGTCCAGCGCCACGGCCGGCGTCATGCAGGACTGCAGGCCCATCGGCACCGCCAACTGGTTCGGCGGCGGCGAGGAGATACCCCAGAAGTGGCCGCTGGAGAAGTACGACGACCTGTCGCACGCCATGGTCACCATGGAGACGGCCAACCGCGGCATCCAGGACCCGTTCTGGTTCACGTCGGACGGCATGTACATCTTCGTGAAGCCGGGCTCACCGCTCTTCGTGGAGATCAACAGCAAGGAAAAGCCGGGGGAGTTCTGCATGACGTCCACGGTGGAGCCGCCCTACCGCGAGCGCAACGGCGGCTTCCAGCACAAATACTACCTCTGCGAGCGGCCCGACGCCAAGCAGGCCTTCCTGCACGCCGTCGAGAACTTCCTGGGCAAGCCGACCGGGCACCCCGACGAGCGGATGATCAAGCAGCCCGTGTGGTCGACGTGGGCCAAGTACAAGGCGGAAATCAACGACGCGGTGGTCAGGGACTTCGCCACGCAGATCAAGAACAACGGCTTCGAGAACAGCCAGTTCGAGATCGACGACGCCTGGGAGACGTGCTACGGCAGCAAGATCGTGGACAAGACGCGCTTCCCGGACATGAAGGGCCTCACCGACTGGCTCAAGTCACAGGGCTTCCGCGTCACCATCTGGACGCACCCCTTCATCAACACGGACTGCCCCACCTACAAGGAGGCCGGCGACCTCGGCTACCTCGTCAAGAACGCCACCGGCACGAAGACGCACTGGTGGAACGGCGCTGGCGGCATCATCGACTTCACCAACCCGGCCGCCGCCAACTGGTTCGAGAGCCGCCATAAGAAGGTCCTGGAGGACAACGGCATTGACGGCTTCAAGTTCGACGCGGGCGAGACGAGCTGGAACCCCGCGATGCCTGAGTTCAACATCCCCGCCGGCACGGACGAGGACTACCCCAGCAAGGCCACGAAGGACTACGTCGAGACCTGCGCCCGGTTCAACGACCTGACCGAGGTCCGGTCCGCCTACCGCACCCAGACCCTCCCCATCTTCGTGCGCATGATCGACAAGGACTCGCGCTGGGGCGACAACAACGGCCTCAAGTCCCTGGTGACGACGCTGCTGCAGATGAACATGGTGGGCTACTCCATGGTGCTGCCGGACATGATCGGCGGCAACCAGTACAACGGTGAGGTGGCCACGCAGGAGCTGTTCGTGCGGTGGCTGCAGGCCAACACCTTCATGCCCGCGCTGCAGTACGCCCTCGTGCCCTGGGACTACGGCGACAAGGCGGCCGAGGTGAGATACAGTCCCGCAGTGAACCCGAATCCACAATGTACAACCGCTCTAACTCTGCCTTCTCGTCGTTGCAGACCATCGCCATCTCCAAGAAGTTCAACGCGCTGCACGAGCAGTACACTAACGTCATCGTGGCGGCCATGAAGAAGAACATCGCGGACGGCACCCCGGTCAACCCGCCCATCTGGTGGCTGGACCCCACCGACAAGAAGGCCCTGGCGGAGGACAGCGGTGAGTCACCACACTGGCAGAGAGACGCTAAACTGGACTCGAACTAAGCGTGTGATCCCACCAATGGACTCCTCGTTCAGAGAGCAATCCATTAGTGGGGTCACACATTAGGTTCGAGCCCTATTAAGCGACTCTGGAGCTCAAAACACGTCCAGGATTTTGACCGCCTCCACCGGTCTTCTGGCCCACTCTTCGTGAACAAACTTTGACTTGACTCTTTCTCCGCAGAGTTCCTACTCGGTGACACGATCCTGTCGGCGCCGGTGCTGGAGGAGGGCGCCGTGAAGCGCGACGTGTACCTGCCGAAGGGCTACTGGAAGGACGGCAACAACGGCAAGATGTACACCGGGCCCTACACCATCAAGGACTACCCGGCGCCGCTGGACACCCTGCCCTACTTCATCCGGCAGGACAACCCGCCCGCCACCACCGCCAACCCCAACACCGCCCCCACCGCGGCGCCACTGTCGTCCACTACCCCGAAGGGCTCCGCCGCGGCGCTGCAGTCCTCCCTGGCCCTCCTCCTCGCCGCCGTCGCGGCTCTAGTCAGACTCCCGTGATTTTATTTTGTATTACCCTAGTGTAGAAACTTGTACAAATAATATACTGATTTTTTTACTGTCGACGAGGCGTGCCTATCTCTCTCTCCTCTGCCTTCTGTTCCAAAGATACACCAGTGGCGCCTGCTACCTGACATAATCCACTCAATCGCTGATCCTCGAGATAAGCATCCGATTTCGCAGAACAATGCCAGCGAAAACAAAAACAAAACACTCGAGGAGCCGGTGCTGTACCGGCGATCGTTATCGTCAAGGCCAGGGCTTACCGACGATGGTCAGGTACCATATATCACCAAAGCGAGGGGCTTACCGATGGTCAGGTACGCGTATGGAGTTTCGGACGCCTGCACCAGTCTTCTGACAAACCATGGTTAGGTCACCAAATCAAGGGACTTACCGACGATGGTCAGGTACAGCGGGTGGCCCATAGGCGGCGTGGTGGAGATCTGGCACTCGTAGAGCCCCGAGTCCTTGAGCTGCGGGTACCGGATGCGCAGTGACCAGTCCTCGGTGTGGGGCGAGTGCATGGCCTCGAAGCGCTGGTCCGACGTGTACGTGTAGCGGCCCACCGTCAGCAGGTGGATGTCCCGGTGGCGCACCCAGGACACCTGCAGACAACAAACACAACAGGGAGGTCATAGTGCCGGTTCACCGTCAGCAGGTGGATGTCTCAGTAGCGCACTCTGCAAACTGTACAGAGTGCTCAGTACACTCTATTTGGAGTGTACTCATAAGCACACTCCTGTGAGAGTGTGCTCAGCTGAGTACACTCTAACGAGAGTGTGCTTAGCTGAGTACACTCTAACGAAAGTGTGCTTAGCTGAGTACACTCTAACGAGAGTGTGCTTAAGTCTGCACAATTCATGCAGCTGAGTACACGTTCGTGGGAGTGTACTCGTGAGTACACGCTGAAGAGAGTGTACTCATGAGTACACGCTAAAGATAGTGTACTCATGAGTACACTCTAAAGAGAGTGTACTGAGTACACTTTTGAGTTTGCAGAGCACCCACGACACCACCAAACAACAACTAAAACCTTTACAACAAAAACAACAACAAAATGTGCATTAGCGTGTGAGATGTCCGCCGAGACTGGAAATGGAGGCGACGCTCATTTCCCCGCAGAGGAGATCGAGTCTCGGAATAACTTTCCGCCGGAATGGGAAATGCAATGAAGAGCGTCGCGACGACGAACCGAGCGGCACCGCGGCGCTGACAACGCCGCCTAGGAGGTAAGTGAAAAGATGACAAGTTGGTAACGGAAACGTGAGCCCGTTGAGGTTGGCGCTCCTGCCGCACTGGATGTTGTAGGCCGAAGAGATTCAGGCCTGCCAACATGCCGGCCGAAAGTGAAGTGGCCACGAGGAAAACGTGTACAGCGCGTCTCTATGTCTCTCTCTCCCTTCTCTCTCTCTCTCTCTCGAAATAAAAAAAGCGTTTCTGTTTATTTAATTTTCCCTCGCAGTGGCGCGCAGTTAGAGAAACACAGGCCGCTGCCAAAGGGAAGCCGGTCCGGCTAAAAGGCGGTACATGAAACATGCAAGATGGCGACGGCCGCGTCGCTGCTGGATGTCCGTACATTGCTCCAGGACGGGAGGAGGCCTCGGAGGCCTTCTTCTCGGTGCCTCGAGATCCCCAACAAGTCTTGGCCCAATATTTGAGGGAGCAGCAACGCTGTACTGCGATGCCGAGACGGTTTGACAGCCCGGCTCTAATAACGTGAGAGGGATGATAATTACGCCGGGCGAGGCAGAGGGGTTGGTGCGCGACAATGTCGCGTCGCCCATTTTTGTCCTCAAGGTCGCCGGCGGGACGGGCTAATGAATGGCAGCGATCCTCGCCGAGCTTAGAGGTACACGCGTAAAGCTGTCTCGTACTGCCAAGAATTAATTACTTACCTAGCTCCTGCCCTCTAAATATTTTTTTTAAATAATGAAAAAGCAAGTTTAAATAATAAACAGAATTAATTTGATGGCGAACATTTTACAAATGTGGCTCAATGACTTTTCAGAGTTAAGGTACTAGAGTCAGGACGGGAATATTAGGGATATTTTCACCAAAACGTGGGTGATCTCCACCTTGAGACTTTTGTAGTGTGGGCGTGCACTGCGGCGTTGAGAGCGCGCCCCGATCGCAGCCTCGCCACGCCACTGGCCATCGGCCCGCAGGCCCATCGCCCAGTCGTGGGTGAAAACACAGCAGCCCCCCGGGCCAGGCTGATTCCGAGAGTCGCCGCTCTGTCTCTCTCGCACGCACGGGGTGTCTTGTGTGGGTGTGAGAGAGACAGAGCGACGATAACGACTCCCGGAGTCAGCCCGCTGGGCCGGGCAGGGACGCGTATAAAGAAGCAGCACGCAAGAGGCCAACGGTCCAATAAACGCGCTCAAAGAGGCTAAAATCGCGCGGTGGCGCGTCCGAGGACACCACGCCCCCTCTCTCTCTCGCACTCCCGGGAGGGACGGAGACAGAAGACAGACCGGTCGCGGTTCCCGGACGTGACTCGGCGGGTAAGTGGTGGAGGGGGCGGGTCCGCACGCACGCACATCCTTCGCTCTACCACGCACTTGGGCGGAACGATTTCATCTAAGCGAATCGCGAGACAAAACGCGCCATGTTCCTTTCCGTAAACTGGAGGGATTCATTATCAAATTCAACCAAATTCAGTTTAATAATTTTTGTAAAAAGTTACCAGTAAAGTATATACTTGCCCTGGTGACAGAAAGTGACAACCCTGGTGAAAGAAAAAACAACTAAAAACACCGGCGCCTCTTAAAAGATTTATTGAGAAAATATCTAAAATTTGTCTGTGTAAGATTATGCACGCTGTAAATACATTGTAAAAACGAAACGTAAAAGCATAGGGTTTTACTTTGCAAAGGCCAATAAAATAGTTGGCGACGTTGCCTGCGTGCGAAGTGGTGCGTGCGGGCTGAGGCCCAGTCGGCGACACGTCCAGGGTCCTGCAGGGTCCTGCGGCTCGCATTTTTCAATGGCGGCATTTCCCCTGTGTTTGCCTTCCCGGCCTGTTATGGCCAGCCAGCGTGGTAACTGGCCGGGTAATGTTGACAAAGTTTTCCACCGGCACGCAGAGACGGTCACGCAACCGAGTTAGGGCGCGCGGCACCCCAGGGAAGGGGGTGAGGGAGAGAGAGAGAAGGAGCGAGAGAGGGAGTGAGAGAGAGAGAGAGAGAGAGAGAGAGAGAGAGCGAGAGAGAGCGAGAGAAGGGGGAGGGGCCGCCGGGGTGGAGACCTGCTGGAGACCCTGGCCAGAGGGTCCGCAACTAAAACAGAATTCTGTCGGGGTTTCCGAGCAGGTGCCTGGATCTCTTAAGCGAATAGGGGTTGCAGTAATCCAGTGACGTAATGGGGACAAAACCGACGAAGCCACGAGTGAGTGGAACGGCGTTTTCTGCGCTTCAACCCGTCTCGAAGAAGAGCAGCAGCGCGGCTCGAAAAAAAAGAAACGAAAAGAAATCGTGACAAGTAGTTAGGAAACTTCCCAACGGAAATGCGTTACGTTTTACTTTTACGACACTGCGAAAAACAACCTCATCGGAAGTTTTCCCCCCTTCATATTCAAAGTGCAGGGGGGCACAGAGATGAATAGAAGAAATGCGTAAAAACGAAAACGAGCGCGTTGGAAGCGAACAAACCCACTCCGCTTGCGAAGCTTGCGCGCACGGCCATGCCGGGCCGAGCCGGGCCGAGCAGCACCGACAAGAAGTAATCAGCAAAGCAAATCTACTTTCCTCCGCTTCAACGGCGCCGCTCCCGTCCACATAACGCGTAACACCAGCCTCGGTGGGCTGGCTTGTTAGTGCCTGGGAACGTGTGGGCAGCGGCAAGAAGGCTCGAACCAACTCAGCTAGGGCGTCAAGCGTGGGCTGATCTCATCTTTGCCGAAAGTAACTCTTGTCCCTAAAAAAATGTTCCGCGATGTTTTTTCCACAGTTATCAGGTATAGCGGCAATTTTACTCGGAGCACGACTGGTGGTTCGACATCAACAAGTCGCAAGAATGAAACATGAAACAAATCCATTGAGCTGCAGTTTGACGGCTGCCATTACGACCCAGGGCTCCTTGTCGGAGCGGTGGTCACGAGCGGAGGCCCCCTGCTTCCCGACAGGGTCGTGTAACATATCAATCACGAGGCGGGCCGGCCGCCCCTGCCGCATGTGGGACGTAATGGCCATGATGCGCTGTTTTATGGTGGAGGGCTGCTCGAGACGACGCGTGTCCGGCAAGCTGTCGCTCTGTCTCTGTCGCACTCGCGGGGCGTGCCGTTAGGCCCGTGCGGGTGCGAGAGAGAGAGAGACCCGGCCGCACTGTTTGCTCGGGCCTGTTTGCCCGCCGCGTCCAAGTCCGAGGCACGCAAACCAAACCGCAGACCGGCCCGGCCAAGCTCGGCCCAGCCCGCAATCAAATCCATTAACGAAATCAGAAGGTCGGAGAGCGCGCCAGGCGCCAGATAGTTGGATTGTCGGTCTCAAAGAGCCGCGAGGCGCCGCGAGGGGAGGCCGGGCGGAAGTAGGGTGGGGAGGGGCGGGCGGAGGCCAAGCCAGGTGAGGTAGAGTGACGCAACGTGAGGCCAGAGTGACTCGGAGTCAGGCCACACGGAGGCCAGAGTGACACAACGTGAGGCCGAAGTGAGGCCGCGCGTGAGGCTAGGTGAGGCCAGGTGAGGCTATGCAAATCTGGGCAGGTCCCTTTATGTTGATTGCACGGCTCTCGCAGCTCGCCAGGCCGTGGACGCTATGACCCGGCCGGGTTGCGGCGCGGCCCAGCCAGGCACAGCCAGCCAGGCCCAGCGTGGTGGCAGCCTGGCCGCCTGAGGTCCACCCCCACCCCCACCCCCAGCCCCGGCCGCGGCGGCCCAGGTGCCCTGCCAAGGCAGACCGTCTCCAAACTCGCTTTGAGCCGAGATCTTGAAACGCATTGAGTACCGCCAGGTTTCGCGTTCGCGGGACAGCACCGTCGTGTTTCAGATCCGACTTTTATCTCAGGGCTGAACGCGGTCCAACTTCCCTGCAATCGCACAGGACGGCGTGCCTTCGTCGTCCGGGTCGGTGGAGCAGGGCAGGTGGAGGCGCAGGGTGTTGACGAGAGAGCACACAACTTGGCAGACGACGCGCCGTCCCGCACTTGATCGATGCACCCCATTTGTGCATGCGTTACATCAAGGCGGTCTCTAAGGAGGAGGAGGGGTCGGCGTCTCGAGCCGGCAGTGGCGGTTCGTACAGTGCACGACACGATGCGGTGGGCCTCACGGATCAACATCGCTGTCCTGTCCAACTCTGTCAAGTTTAGTTTTTTTTATTCAGTGCGTCGGTATCTTGACAGGGTTCGTTTCTCTCATTTTTCAGCTACACCGCGCCTTGATGTAATACACCGAGCCAGAGATACAAGACACACCATGCAGCCATGCAGCTGGCGGGGTCAGATTGGCACTGCGACAGAGGGAGAGAGAGAGAGGGAGGGAGAGAGAGAGAGAGAGAGAGAGAGAGAGAGAGAGAGAGAGAGAGAGAGAGAGAGAGAGAGAGAGAGAGAGGGAGAGAAGCCAGCGCGTTTTTCAGAGTGGCCTTTTTGCGGCAACAAAAGGCGTGCGCAG